GCGAATGTACCTTATGAGACACTTTGTAAAAAAAAAAAAAAAAGAACTTTACCGTTTGACACTACTTTAACAAATGATGGGACAAAATTGAGAGGACTACCTGTGGATTGATTTCCATTGGTTATGCGCTCCTATGCACAGTAAATGGCAAAAGGGAGAATTTTTCTGAAAGGGGTCCCCATAAGTGTGCAACGAAATTCAATGATTTGACTAACCAACTTGGGAAATCGCCAAGTTGGGAAAAGTTGAAAAAAGAAAAAAGTAAAGTATGCACATACGATGCCTAAATAGTGAACACATAATGAAAAAATAAATGTCATCTTTGGGAGAAAGGAGCATTCCTTCATGGCATTAGCAAGGCTCAGCTTAAGACTTGATTAAATGTGTGCAAAAAAAAAAAAAAAAAAAATGGCATCACACTTTTTTTTTTTTTTTTGAACACTCCGTGCTCTACTGCTTCCAGAAGGAATTTTCCAAGGCCTGCTTGAATTCTTTTTTTCTTATCTTTAATGTAGGCTTAATTTTGATACGTTGTAAAGGGGGCAACAAACCGTTGTTCCAGAACGCACAGCTATCCTTCTGACCGTGTCAGATGGTCACAAGTTTGCCTGTTCATCACAAGATGGAAAGGAAGAAACTAAGTGAGACCGCAGAAAGAAGAATTATTTGTGGACAAATTTACCTGAAAGGGAAAAACACCACATGGATGATAGCCTTCGCCTTTGTGTTCGCGTTTTCGTTTGCTTTTTCGTTTGCGTTGCTCTTTAACATTGCTTGTTTTAAAATGTTGGGAACATTTGCACACTTTGAAACGCCGAAGGGGGGATTGCGCCTTGGAATTTTTTTTTTTTTTTGAGGATAATGCATTTTAGCTAGCTGAGCTTTTTTATGTGTGTACTTTGGTTAGCCCCTATTTTTCATTACATATGTTCGGAAAGGGCGTACCTTTTTTGAAGGTTTTTGACGTGTACTCTTTTTCCTTTTTTGTTACCGCAACTGTGCTACAAGGAGGTGGTGGAGATCAATTTGAGTTACCCTCAGCTGGTAAGAAAGAACTGCATTTTGTGGTGCCACACTTGGGGAAGCGTTAATTTGTACAATGGGCGACGAGGATTAATTACACCACTGTTATGACAACTGTTACAACCTATTTAGTAATGTGCGCTGCGGGCAGTGCCCCACAACGTGGATACAAATGGTTTGCTCGTTCGTTCGTTCGTTTGTTAGTCTCTTGGTAAAAATGAAGTCACAAAAAAAGAAAAAATTTCATACGTGAGAAACGTGCCGCAAAAGTATCTCGGACGAGCGGGAGACCTCTTCCATAATCACGGCACATTAACCGGTTCGACGTTTACTTTGGCAGGAATTCGCTTTCGGCGAAATTGCACAGTGTTGGTGTGATTCGACATGGTGTGTACGCAGCGTACGCGAGAACGACAAAAAATTGCAAACGTGAATTTTTTTTTTTCCACCTCTAACTGTATATGTGCGGAACGTTAATTTAGCACGTTCGAGCATCTTTACGGATTGGAAAAAAAAACTCTAGCCGCTATTTTCGTGGGGCGGCACCATGGAACCTCGGACGAACTCGAGGTAGGTTTCAAAGTGGCTAAGCGTGGGGAGTGTGTCCTTCAGCTCGTGGTAAATTTGCTCATTATCCGCCTGCCTGGCCCTGGCGAGAGCCCTTTCAAACTCGGCCGCGTCATTGTCCTTGAGGAAGCGAAGCAAATTGTTGACCGTTTTTATTAACTCAGATTTGATGACGGTTTCCAACTCGGGGAGAAGGACATTGGAAAGGGACCGATAAAAGGGGATATCGTCCTCATCTACGAGTATCCCCGGCAGAGTTGTAGTTCCCTTTCCACACTTGGCAAATATCTTGAAGACCAAATCGTTCAAATTTTTGCAATTGTACTTGGAACTTATTTCTTCCTCATTTTTACACGCAAGGATAATTTGTTCAACAAGGTTGACTATATTTTTGAGAACACTTCTAATCACTTGCTCATTTGTCGAGTGGGACAAAAATTCACAAATGATAATTAAATACTTTTTGTCTTTTACGTAGTGGGCTAATTTGTCCATATCTTGCAAGATGGTTTGCACTTGGTCCATAATAGGTTGTATAATTTCACTTTTTCTCTTATGCGCATCTTTGATACTTTTGGGAGCCTTAGCGTAAACGAGCTGTTTCCACTGCACGTATAAAAACTTATCCTGATCAGACTGATTAAAATCGTAGAAAAATTCCATGACGACATAAAATCCATAGTAGTCATTAAAAATATCTTCAAAATTATTTGCAATTTTTTTTACCACAAAATCGTGTAGCAATTTTGTGTCATCGGTAATTTTCAGCAATCTAATGATTAGCAAAAAGTTTACACTATTTTTACACAAATCGCAGATATCATTTTTTAGTACCTTTATTAGGTTCTTTTTATGTTTGTTTGTGGCGTAACCTAGGAGATATATTAGCGCTTGATTTCCTAGGTTGGTCGAGAGGAGATATTCACACCCTTGGTGGATGATCTCCATGATATTGGCCAACTCGTCATCATTTAAAATTTTGGATGCTGTCAGAAGGATATTATGAGAAACGATGTTGTACAGCAGCTCCTTCTCCACCAGCATTTCTACCAGCTCGATTAGGTACTTACGTATTAGCATTTTATTTTCTTCATTAAACGTCTCGAACATTTCTTTGGTGTCTTTTTTTAAAATATCCAGAGTTATATTTTTCATCCCGTTGGCGATCTTTTCACTTTGGCTGCTTCCATTCGGGATGATCAGATAGTTTGTAATTTTTGTTCTCATTTCCGTTTTGAGCTTTTGAAAAACGGTGTTCCATAGTCTGGAAGCAAATTTGGTGAAAAAAGTCTTCGGGTTTTTTAACAGCCACTGATGAATGTCTTTTCTTATCTGTTCACCTTTCGCGTGTTTGTAAAAACATTGGAACACGATGGACACAAAATTGAACGTGCTGATGTCGCTCATATGTTCATGCAGATTTGTCCACAACTTTTTTTGTACCTCCTCTGATCCATTGATTACTAGGGAGGAGATAATGTGGTAGCCTAAATTGGTGCGCGCAAATTTGACTAGCTGTACCTTTTTTAACTCGGCATAGAGAAGATTTATTTGTCTCTTTTTCTCGTCCTTATCCTTTGTCTGTAGCAAGTCGTTCAATTTGATTCTCAATTTTTTGTAGTAGTCGTAATTTTCTACTATCACTTTTTTTTTATTTTCCTTAATTAACTTTTTTTTTTTGGACTTGGACAGATTTTCGTCGTTCATAATTTTTTTGCACTTTTCGGTTAGAAGTTCTCTTCGGTGTTCATCGCCCCTTCGTTTGTGAGTCTTCCGTGTGGGGGTTCCTTTCTCAACGCTTTGTTCGTAAGTGCATCTTCTGGTGTTCTTCCCCTCGTCTGCTCTGTTCCCCCTGGGATGCTTCTTCCCTTTGGAGTGGTCGCCACCGCCCTTGCTCCTCTTCCCCATTGGGCCCCCTCCCCGTGGCGTTTTTCCTTTCCTATCCTTTAGAAGGAGTCCCCCATTGGAGCACCCCGCGTTGTTCTCCTTCTTCAACTTGTTCTTCCGCTTCGCAAAGCTTTTCTTCATTTTAGCTAGCTCTTCAGTTGCATCCTCCGCAGGGTTGGCAGCAATTGGAAAAAAGTGGCGCCCACCACTCCAGAACCCGATGGTTCGCCTTGGGGCACGAGCGAAGAAGTGAGCAGTGCTACGCGTTAGTTGGCTGCCCCAAGTAATGTTTTTTATTTTTTCCTCTTCTCTTATTAAACAACAGTTGATCCGCTTGCGGGGGGGGTAGACGTGGATGGCCTATCTTCGTTTTATCGCTTGGATGGCTAATTCATTTATCTATCTATTTATTTGTTTATTTATTTATTCATTTATTTGTTTGATTGTTCGTTTGATTGTTTTTTGTTTTTTTCTGCATGCGCCGCGGTGATCCTTTAAACATACATTTTGCTTCTCCCCCTTTTGTGCGAAAAAAAATGGAACCATTTTTGGTAAAAGAATCACGCGACGGGGAGAATCGTGCTGCTATTTTTGCCCCATTTTTTCAAGTCCAAAAATTGGGTGAAGCAGCAGCATATGTATATATATGAGGTTCATCCTGTGAAGGGCGGAAAAAATTATGTATTTCTGGGCCGCGCCGAGCAACCTCTTTGATGCGCTTACCCTTTGCGAAGCACGTATGTAACGGAACGCCGCAAGGGCACCCCCGCCTATAAGCATACTTCCCACGCGTTGGCGGTCTTCCCAGCATAATATGTATAATTCTGCATGCTTCTGAAGCGTGAAGGTGGGCTAAGCTAGAACCGTGTGCCCCGATGGTGTATGTTCTGGAGGTCCCAATTCGTGCATCTACCAACGCGCACCAGGAGAGAGATAGCAATTTTCTTCTCTCCCTTCACGCATCTAGGGAAAAGCGAACATATGCTACATTTCAGGAATTTTATTTTGCACTACTTTCTACCACTGCTGCCAGTTGGGGGGAAAAAGTCCTCGTAGAAATTACAAAACCTCATCTCGTTGCTATAAAGCGGATGCACCTGAGAAGAAAAAAAAAAAGAAATTCCAGTCACGTCGTCTATATTTTGAAATTTTTCTCCAAAATTATCTTCAAACAGGTAATTACGAATGTTACGCATAGATCAATCTGTGTTTAAAAAAAAAAACAAAAGTTAAATTCAGGTTGTTCACTTTTCATCATTTGCTGCACGCATAGCGGTGCTGGTACTATTGTTTTTTGCCCTTTTTACGAAGAAAACCTCAAAGGAAGAAAAAAGAAACGTCCCCTTTGCTAAAGAATCGCGGAAGGGACATTTTCCCGCTTCGTAAAGCAGCCCTCACGTTTGTGAAAACCCATACGTATATGTGTAAGCCTACACTTACTACAAAAAAAAAAAAGGCCCACGTAGAGATAAACCTCTCCGCCCCCTTCCCTTGCCCCTTCCAAAATGCAAAACCCCCCAAAAATGGAAGATCACAAAGATAACGATTCCATCCTGCTGAAACACGGATGGTGTGAAATGCTTAAGGGAGGAGTAATAATGGACGTGAAGAATGTAGAGCAGGCAAAAATAGCAGAGGAAGCTGGCGCAATCGGAGTAATGGTCCTGGAGAACATTCCCTCGGAGCTTCGCAGCAAAGAAAGTGTAGCGAGAAGTGTTGACCCAAGTAAAGTGGAGGAAATAAAAAAAAGCGTTTCCATTAATGTACTAGCCAAAGTACGCATAGGCCATTTTGTAGAAGCGCAAATATTAGAAGAACTTAAAATCGATATGATTGATGAAAGTGAAGTTTTAACAATGGCTGATGAGAATAACCACATCGATAAGCATAAATTTAAGACACCTTTTGTATGTGGATGCACCAATTTGGGGGAAGCTCTGCGAAGGATTTCCGAAGGAGCTTCCATGATAAGGACCAAGGGAGAAGCAGGAACAGGAAATATAATTCAAGCTATAAAACACATAAGGACAGTAAAGAACGAAATTGACTACCTCTGTGCGTTAAGTGAAAACGAAGTTTATAATTATGCCAAGAGGATTAGTGCTCCTTTGGATCTTCTTCTCCTCACAAGAAAGTTAAAGAAATTACCCGTAGTAAATTTTGCAGCTGGAGGAGTTGCCACCCCGGCAGATGCCGCCATGTGCATGCAGCTAGGAATGGACGGCGTCTTTGTAGGCTCTGGAATTTTCGAAAGTGAGAATCCGAAGAAAATGGCTACCTCCATTGTTGCCGCTGTTAGCAACTTTAACAACCCGAAGATACTCCTAAATGTCAGCCTCAACTTGGGCAAGGCCATGTGCGGCAGCACCACCATATGTGAAAAGTGGAAGAACAAGAATGAGGAGATGTATTAGGGACGATGTACCGAGAAGGCGGAACGAGGAACGTGGCAATGGAAAAGCGGAAACCGAAAAGCGGAAACTGTTTTGCTTCATGAGGCGAGATGGACGTGGAGTCGTCTCGATGGAATCCCAAATGACCCATCTGGCCACCTGTTCAGCCATACTGTCCATTCACGAGCCCAGCTTCCACCCCCCTTGGCAAAGGTGCGCATGTATAACACCCACCACATGCCCTGCCATTTTCGCCTCCACTGGAGGAAAATAAGTGCGTACATAAAATGCGCCACCCATTCGTATACTCTGTGTAAATTATCCTAGACGGCGGGGCTCATTGCATGGAAGGATGCGACGCTCGTTATTCCCACAAGAGTTTAGCGCATTATCCTCCATGGTAATTTTTTTATTTTTTCCCGCTTCTGGCTTTTTTTTTTTTTTTTTTTTTTTTTTTCTCTTGTTGATGTTGCTCCTGTTTTTGCTTTTACTACTTTTTTGGCAATTTTTTTTTGCAATTTTTTTTTGCAATTTTTTTTTGCCATTTTTTTTTGCCATTTATTTTGGCCTGTCTTGAGTGTTCTGCACATTTGAGTCTTCTGTGTTTATTGTAAATGTTCCGCGCATTTCTTTCGCTTGCCTCTTCCCCCCATTTGTGGTCTTTCTCTTCGAACGCCTTTCGTTGACCTCGTGTGAGACGTAGAACAATTTGTTTTACGGAGATAACTTCGTCCTTTTGATGAGTCTGATTAATGATTTGAGTAAGGGAGGGAACGATGCCGGGGTTATGTGTTGTTCCCCGGAGCCCTCCCGGAGCTCCCCCGCACGTGTGGCAGCACATGCCCGGAGGGGTGTATATACACATCCCTGGACAAATGTGCAGCCATGTGCACATTTGTCCGGGCATTTGGCCGTATGGACCACTGAGCAGAAAGGCACCTCCAACGGGAAAGAACATTTTTCCTTGAATGCGAAAGGGGAAAAAGTATACCCTGTCAGGGCAACCTTCTCCTGCCTCCCCCCGAGGATTCGCGTGTTTGGCCGTTTCATTGGAAAGCATAGGAAGGCAGAAACTCCTGTTTGGACGTTTTCAAAATTACACTGTATGTACAGCGCAGAGGGAAATTTGTGCACCCACCCCCTGATGGTAAGCGCATTTGCACGCAGGAGCATACACAAAAAAAAAGAAAATGGGCAAAGTGAGCATGTGTAGGAGTGGCCTTACAACGAGTTGCGTGCATGTGCGTCCACATCCGCGTGCACGTCAGTATGCACATTGGCATTCGTTAATCGGGGTGGCTCGCGTATTCCCTCTTTATACACTTGCGCCCGCCTCTGTTCAGGTGTGCATTCACTTTCACCTAGTTGCATCACCTTAGCGCAATTGCACGGCAATCGTTCGCCACGCATGTCCAGTTGTGCTGTGAGAAGTTGTGATCGGTTTGGAGATCATTTGCAGTTTTGTTTCGCAGTTTTGTTTTGCAGATCTGTTTTGCAATTTTGGCAAATGTGCATAGCAGAGTATCGCTTAATTTTTCTCATTTTTCTGCAATTTTTTGCAATTTTGTAACTTTTTCGTCCCTGTGCGCACACTTTGGCCTTTTCCTTGCGTTTGCCCTACTGGTGACGCAAACTTGGTGCCTTTCCCTCGAACAGGGGGCCCGCCTAGACAGCGTTTAGCGCGGCAAGAGGGGGCCCTTTACGGGAGGAAGTTCCCCCTATTATGTGTTTGGCCATTTGGAACAAAGAAGAACAAAGAAGAACGAAGATAAAAAAAAGGAAACAAAGGGGGAAACGGAACTGAGGTTATGCCTCATCCATTCTTGTCCGCATGGAGTACGTCGAACTCGGCGCACGGGGTGGCGTTCTTTCCAGGTGACACATTAAGTGCCCCCTCCCCCTGCGTGGTTGCCGCGTTACTCACCTCTTCATCTGCCGCGTTGCTTGCATCTCCACGTGCCGCATCACTTGCCGCTAATCTTTCTCTCCACGATGATGGGCGGTGAAGTCATCGTCGAGAAGAACCCGGAGAGCAAATTCTGCGTGGCGAGCAAGGAGCCGCTGTGCGACAGCGTCATATGGGACCTGCTGCAGAACTACTACCGGAGGGCAGCCATAAACGCGTGGAAGGAAAATGTTGTGCCCTCCTTCGTTACGAGCAACAGCAAAATCGCCAAGGACTACGCCCGAGTGATAATTAATTATATGAAGGACTGGTTTAACAGCAAGGAGTGTGACAGAAATGTGCCCATATATATATTAGAAATAGGAGCAGGTCATGGAAAATTTACGTACCTCATTTTAAGAGCATTAAGCAGGTATCAGAAATATTTTAAGAGCATGAATCTTCCAGACAGGCCATTTGTGTATGTATTTACAGACATCGCAAAGGATAACATCACGTATTGCATGAACAATGGGAGGTTGAAGCGATTCATCAACACGAGGGAGAGTTGTGACCGAACCTTCACAAGTAAGAATAACTCTTACTATGATTCCGAGTTTGAAAGAAATGAAGAAATCAATTACGACTCGTCTACAAACACATCAAGCTATTCCTCCTCGTATAACGATACGGATTATTCAGATGAAAGGGTAAGAAATTACGCCAACTTTTCCATGCTCGATTTTGCCTACTTTGATGGGAATGAAACGGAGGAGAAAATTTTTCTACAAGTCTCCAAAACTTACATTCCTGAAAATACACCCATAGTGCTAATTTGCAATTATGTGTTGGATTCTCTGCTCACCGATGCTTGGATTGTTAATGGAGAGGATGACATCAGGAGGGCGCTTCTTTCTGTGTACTCGCCCAATGTAGAGGAAGACAAAACGAATGCAGATATTATGCTACGTATGTCTGTCACATGGGACTGGGAAAAAGTCAATATCGATGAAGAAATTAAGAAGCCCAAAACAGATAAGCCATCCGATTATTTAAGAAAACATAGAGAAATTTACACAGTGTTGAAGTTGTATTCCTATTTTAATCAAACATTGTCTTTTGTCCTTCCAGTGGGAGCATTCATTTTATTTGATAGGATACTAAAGTTGAGTGGAAACAAATTATTGTGCCTTATTGGTGATAAGGGTTACCAATCGTATGAAGAATTTAAGGGCTATAGAGATCCACATATTGTCGTGCATGGAAGTCTCTCCTTTATGGTTAACTTGAACGCCATTTGTCTGTACTTCCTATCCCGTGGTGGGCATTACATTCATACCCCCTACTCGGACACATTTCAAATCGTCACTCTGTTGATGCATAAGAAGAATTATGAGGGGAGTGGAGACTACGAATCGGAGGTGGAAAAAGGGGTCTTTCCATCAGCGAGAAATAGCCTTGGCGATGAATCGAACTTGACTTACTCCACCTTAACCGAGCGGATGAGAAAGGATTCGCGAGGAGGAATTAATCAGTTTAATATTATTGACTATTTTAAGAAGGGCTCCAAAGATGGGAACCCGAGGAGGAGGTACCAGAACCAAGTGAGCACGACGTCGTCCTCCTGCAGGTTGAAGGGAACCACGGGGGTGAGCAGAACGGATGCAAGCACAACCGATCTAAGCAGAACCTATCTGAGGAGTCGCTTGTCGGGTCGCTCCCGTCAGAACGATGAAAGTGTGTACAAAAAGATGAAAAAAATAAACTTAAAAAATTTAAACAACATGTCGATAAAGTTCGGGGGAACTATTTCGTCCTTCTTCGACAACATGGAGCAGTTTCCACCCGATGTCTTGATAAACTGGCAAAAAGCAGTCATCCACAACATCAATAATAACCCTGCTAATGTGAGCATAAAGGAGCTCATCGCCCTATTGAGGTACTCCAATCACGACTCGGATGTTTTTTACAACATAAGAAATGTCTTCACCAGTTTGGTTAACTACCCCAATATCAATGGAAGGACAGAGAAGGACATTCTCCTGGACATAAAAGAATGCTATGATAATTATTACTCTTTGAAGTCAGACGAAGATATCGCCGATGTGTGTGGTCATGTGTGTATGAAATTTGGTGAGTTTGAGAAGGCCATATATTATATGAAACAAAGCCTGCGCAATTTTCAGCAAAGTCGACACTCCTCAACCTACATTAACATTGCATCATGTTATAAGGTGCTCCGAAATTATCACAAATCGATTAAATTCATAAGATGCGCGATTAAGTTGTCCAACCGGGAGGCTCGAAGGAGGGTTCCGAGTGGGGAGGAAGGAGAAGCGGGACAACACTCACACGGGGAACACAGTGGACGTGGACAACTCGCCCCCAACAACCTGAATCACGCGCACGACCTGTTGTATAATATCCAATTTTGCCTGAACCCAATTACCTACGCCATCGTGGGGGTCAACCACTTCTTGCAGAATGACGGCCTGTACTACCTCTCCTTCGAAAATCGAATAAAACTTAAGTTCATTTTTCTGCTCGCCAAGGAGGAGGAAGCAATCCTACGCTTCATGAACAGGAAGTACAAAAGTTCCGCCTATGAGAAGAGCACCCGTAATATGGACCCCTCCGATATTAAGATCGTCAGGGTTTACCGCGCGAATGAGGTGATCTCCATGGAGGAGGTGGACACCATCCCACTCAGTGGTGGCAAAGAGACGGGCGTAACCCACTCTGCAGAGAACCAAGCGGAGGAGAAAAACCGATCCTACCAGAATGTAGCCCACTTGAAGAAGAACCTCCGAGACTGCCTAGCGAAGTACCACTTCCAGTTCTGCGTAATCGACGCTCCGTGGCCAATAAAGGCAGACATGGCAGAGTTGATGCTAGAGCACTCGAAGCATCTGTTCACCTATGGTACCCTATCTGACTGTAGTAACCGCTCCATGCAGGTGATATCAAAGTATAGAGAAGTTTCTGAACAAGTCAGTTGGGTAAACAATAACTACGTCCACGACGAGTGTCTGTACGATGCGAGAGATGCACTGAACCATATTGGGAGCGTCATATCGGTGACAATTACTCATTACAGCATGAATTTGTACAATAAGCAAAATGGGTCCATCCCCAGTGCGCACATTTTGACCGAAGATCTGTGCATCCTTCTGAATGGCCTGCAGATTATCTTGAACCTGAACGTGACGGGCTTGACAGCCAACTTTTTGAGGCGCCGGGGGGGGGAAGCGGCGAGCAAAGGGGTGGCGAGCAAAGGGGAGACGAACGAGAGGCCAGGCGACAAATTAGTAGCGGAGAGGGAGGAGCAGGTGGAGAAGATGGCGGAGAAGAATACCCAGCCGAATGGTGAACCTCCTCTGGAAGACGCCAATTCAGACGTAGCCTCGGAAAAGAAGGATAACACCCACCTAGACGCAGACTACATATCCCTCTCAGGCATACTAATCTTCCAGCATCACAAAACATTACCAGATGAAATAAACGTGCACGGGAACTACCTCCTAATGAATAACCGAAATGAAGAGTTTTTAACAAAAATTAATTTCGTTGGGGTTCACGGATCCTTATGCTTAAAAAAAACGTTATCTAATTGGTCAGTCCAAGTTTTTAACCTGAACGATACGAAGGTGTACGAGAAATCGGGTCGCATTTCAGCTAGCCAAAATTCGAACGACGTGTTCATAAGTCAGTATTTGATAAAAACAGATGGGAAGGAAAACCGGGTGAAGCATTTTAACGAGTATGACTTGAAGGGTTCCTGCAACGGTTCCAATGACTCCATCGACTCGGACATTGACATTTTGGAGTTTTCTTCCGACGAGGAATGGGGATCCCACTCAAAGGGGTCTCCTCAAGTGGGGGCCTCTTCCGGCGCCATCCTCGATGTTGAGAAGAAAGAATGCTGCGATGAGGTGGAGCCTACGAAAGAGCACTATGAAGCAGTGGCCACGAGAACCAATCACGATGAGCTATTCTTTGATAAAAATTCGGAAGTTCTGAAGGGCTTGCCAGGAAGGAGGTTCCATTCCAGTGGCAAGGAGGTATACGAAAATATAAACTTGGACGAGTCACTGGTCGACGTCACGGTTAATAACAACTGCTTTTACTCGAGGATCGTGGAGGGGATACAGATGTCCCAAAAGAAGGGGGGTGCGATGGTTCACTTTAAGTACAAGGCGGTTTGAGCGGATCAGCAGGCATCTGCGTCGATCTACCTTGTGCATGTATGAGCCCGCGTTGCCCTGTGCCCCAGCCGCTTCTCCGGTGCAACGTGTCGCCAGAAAATGGAAGGCTCGGAAAGTTCACGGGGAGAAAACAAAAACAAGAACATAAAGGAAAACTAACTGCAGTTCGCAAAAGAGGGTGGAAAAAAAAAGTGAAAATTTTTTTTTCCAAATAGTAACGCCAAATGTTAGATACAAAGGTGTAACTCCGAAAAGGACCTTTTTCCTTACAAAAAAAAAAAAAAAAAAAGGGGAAGGAAGAGGATGTAGCCCTCCCAACGAAGGAACACCGGGGGGGAGCTTCAAAAGAAGGTTGGTCACCACCTCGGGATGGCTCCCCACCGAGCAATCATACCAAAATCTGGGAGAACTCGTTCCACAAGAAGTCGTACTGAGAAAAGTTAATGTACGACGAAAAGTCCAAGTTGGGATCGACCTCGGATTTATTCTTCTTAATCTTCTTGATATATTTTTTGATCTCATTTAGGGAGAGCTGAAAATGCTTTTGTAATTTATTTTTCGTAATCTGGAGAGTCTGGCAAATTTCGTCATCAGTGTAAATTTTCTTCCTTAAGAAAAGCCCAAACTTCATAAAGATAATTAGCTTGTTGATTTTTTTTTTTAGCGATTTGCAGATAAACTTTCGTAGTCCCTTTATCACAAGGTCGTTATAAACAATTTCGTTCATGCTATGGATATCATCCGCGTTGACAATTAAATCTGTGTATGTGTTTTTTTCTGGGTGGGCTGAATTATTATTTTGGTAGACGATTGGCTTCTCAGCATCTATGACGTTCACAGCTGAGGAGAGAGCCTTCTGAACCCGTTCCATGGTCATATACAATCCGTCTGCGATTTCTTTGATGCTTGGTTTTCTTTCATGTTTTTCTTCAAAACTTTCTTCAAATTTTTTTATCTTATTATAATCTTTGTAAGTATGTGGCGAAACGGACACGAAGGACTTGTGTTTCTGATAATAATTGTAGGTGCTGTTTTTTGCCCAGATGTACACGTACTTTGTCAGATTTTTTATTCCTAATTTTTCGACGTCATATCTTCTGAACCCGTTTTTCACTGCATCTAAGCTGACCAGTAGGAAGTCGTCTTCACTTAAGTTGCTACTAAAATTGGATTCAGCTTTGCGTATAATATTATTAATCAGTGGGATGAAATAGATTAGCAATTTCTGGGACGACTTTATTTTAACTTCTAACTTGTTTATGAAAATTTCCTTGTCGTAGTTGTAGGCAAAGGTTACTTCCTCCAGAAGGGGGGGTCTGTTCTCCAACTTTTCCAACATGTAGATGGAATTCTCAAAGAAGACGATGTCTTTAATGCACTCGATGAATTTCTGCACTTCTGAGTTTATCAAATTTTCGCAGTCGTTGTAGAGGACTACTTCGTTGTTGTCGAAGTAGTCCGTGAAGATGTCCCCGTTAGACGCTACCCCGTTAGAAGCTGCCCCTTTCGGGGACGCTTCCCCCTTCTTCCTTCTCGGGTCAGGTTCGCTTCCCTCCCCTTGATCGCCAACCGGGGAGGCCACGTCCGGCACGGAAAAGTCAAAGGGGGCCACAACATCCCCGCCTCCTGCAGTACCGTTCCTAAACAAACTGAACATATTGGTCTTGTTGTAGAAGTACGTCTTAATGAGCAACTCCTCATCATCCTTCTGCACCAGCGTCTTCATTTTGTAAATATAAACAATGAGCTTCTTCAGATTCTCAACGGAGACATTAATTTCCTTGGACCATAGATCCAACGTAAGGATTTTTTTCTGATCCCTGATGCTCTCATAATATTCTAATCTTAACTTATGAAACAGGTATTGTTTTATCACCTCTATATTGACGGTTTGTCCATTTAGGAGAAGTATGTTTTCTTTGATTTTTTTTTTGGACGCCTTGAATATGGTCTTGTCCTTGAAAGAAAGCAGCACTTCATTCAACCTTCTTTTCTCCCTTTCGTACACTTCGTTCATGTATCCTCTTTTGAGTTTGAGGCGAATTTTTTTTGTCCTTTTTTGGGGAGGGGTGGCCGCCTCGTCTGTCGTACCTGACTCTTTTGTCTTGTCTGTCTGGTCTGTCTGGTCTGTCTGGTCTGTCGCTTCTGTCTCTTCCGCTGCGTCACTGGGCACCAAATCCGTTGCAGCCCGCGGCTTTACCTTGCCAACCAAAAAGCCAATGTTCGGATTGGGGTTCAGTGTAAAGAAACTCATCACCCCGTCCTCGAAATTTACATTGTCGTCCACGCTCTTCTTTAGCACACTGCTGCAGCAGAGGCTGTTGAAGTAATTGTTTGATGTGCTTTTCGTTTTGGGGAGGTGTTCTTCAGTTGGGAGCATCGCGTTCTCACCCCTTGCACTGTCACTACCCATTGTGCCGCTCCTCCCTTTGGCGTAGCGCCTGAGAGAGAATCTTCTTTGTGTCTTCGCCCCCGCATTGGGAAAAAGGCCCAACTGGTCTCCGCCGCGGGTCATCCGGTACGCCTGAACGGAGCCTCCATTTTGGCTAAACAAGATCAGGGAAAGCACCAGAAGGTAGAGGTGCAGCAGGACGATAAGGAAACTGTTGCGGCGATTGTCCTCCCCTTGGTTGTCCCCCCCTCGCTTGTTCCCGCTGCCCGTCTTGCAGTTACCAATGGTCAGTGCGACTAGCACGAGTAAGAGCGGCTGCATCCGATGTTAGTCATTGCACAGTGGCATTTTCTCACGGCATCTCCACGGGGGAAGCTACTCATACGTTTGACAGGCATGCACTGTTGTCAATCAGGTAAAAAGCAATCATGTGCAGAGGTGCACCTCTGGTTTTCCTCGCTATGCAACTGTTTCGGTTCGTTCCGATTTGTTTCGATTCGTTTCGATTCTTTTGCAAAAATAAAAATAAAAAAAAAAAGCTACGTTCAGATGGAGAGCTGAACACAGCACTTTTGTTTGAATATTTTAACACCTTCGTTGTTCAACTCGGCTTTGTGATTCTTCCCTCTGCGGAGATCACCATCAGTGTGAAAGTGCATAGGGGTAAGCTTCTTTCCTATTTGGCAAAAAAAAGGCAACTCTCACGTTTGCTTCAAATTGGGCAAACCTATCATTGGGCCGTTTGCCTGCTCACTCACATTGCATCGAAGAAGTGTGCACGTGGATGTGTTCCTTTACGTGTTCATGCTCAGTGATGGTCCTCTTTTCAAGGGGGTTCGTCGCCTCTTTCTGAGCGCCACTTTAGGGATGGCTTTTCGCTCATAGGGCAGAGTACATATAAAGGAGGTAGGGCAGGGAGGGTAGCTTCTCCTCCTTTTTAGAGAATGTGTTACATGTAACTGCAGGGTTGTTAATTGGGGTCTGTGGGGAGGGGGCATCCCTTTGGACCTTTAAAAATGTACTCATATGAGTAAGCTGAGCGAGCCAATATGCCTTCCAGCACGTTCATGCGATTGGCTCCGTGCGCGTTTCTTTCTCAAACGTTGGTGAGGTAACTCTTTTATTGGATCAGAGTTGGCTGATACTTGTTCGAATGGCCTCCCGTAAGGGGGAGTAAAAATGGAGGGGGGAATGCAAACACGCTTGCAACATGTATGTATGCTTTTGTATGTACGCATGTCAAGTAAGAATTCCGCCGTCCGCACCTTTGGAAGCTCGAAAGGGTTGCTATTTTCCGCGTAATTGTAACGACGCTGTGTTTTTCTACGCCGCAATTGTTTCATCAGCTAGGTGTAGCACATGTCCATTTGTTTCCTACTCTGGGTTCATAAACTTACCGGCATTGTGTTTTTGTACGTGGCATTTTAGCGTCGCTTCGCTATTCTTTTTTTTTTTTTTTTTTAAAAGAAACGAAATGTTAACTTAAATGATACTTCCTTGCGGACAATGGAGGAAACCACTCACGATTTTCTTTATTTTTTCAGATATTATAAAAGGATAGGCCCCCTCGTGAGTGCAATGTTCGGATTACTTTGTTGAGAGGGTGGTGCATCGTTCGGCGCTTATTCGACATTTTTGCTATGCTAACTTGAGCACATATGGTTCCCTTATAACAATAATATCTTATTGACAGAATGGCCGAGTGGTCTAAGGCGCTACCTTCAGACGGTAGTCTGTATAAGGCGTGGGTTCGAATCCCGCTTCTGTCAAAGAAGTAAAATTCTTTTATGTACCTAGAAGTGGTAAAGAAAAGAAAAGAGAACAAAACAGACACTTATGCGGAAAAAGTTCTTTTATGTATATTCCTCTTTACTTTTTTAAGAAGGTTGGGGGAAGAATTTCCTATTTTGCAGAAAACGTGCTTATAGTTTTTCAACGAATGAACCATTCCTATTTCGTGTTGACCAATCGGATATTTTTTATAAATGTCGGCGTTGCTAAAGGGTAGAGGCTCTGCCTTTGAAGGTGCTTAACTTCTACAACGCAGTTACTCTTTAGCCTTTTTTTTAAACTTCAATTGTGACATCTTTTGATCAATAGAAAAAGAAGATGCTCAATTCGGGGGCCCTTTACCCCTTTTTGTTAATGGGCACAAAAGAGGAACCGCATGGAGGTTTCCGCTCCGTTATTTCGGCAACTTTAGGGAGGCACACCTTTTATACGCGCACTTTTTCCAAACAGGGGGGGTTTCAATTCAAACCCCGAGTGAGGCACTTGGCATGCCATCCAACTAGTACCATTTTAGGACTCTCGAAAGGGGTACATAAATATGGCATGTCTTCACTGTTCTGGAAAAGAAGGGGCTGATATTTCTTGCCCTATGATGAACTAGGAATTGAGGTTTCCGCCAAACGAAAGGAGAATCAATCAGCAATTAGACATCCTTAAATTATATTTTCGATTAAGTAGAGATTTGGGCAAAGGTGGGGTATGATGATCCAACTACAGCAAGGCGAATTCATAGGCACTCCTTCATTTGAAGTAGTTTTTCATTGGGAGTAGTTTTCCTCAGAAATGAGAAAAAAGAAGCGTCCTTGTGTTACGTGTAGAGGACTACCCAACTTATATATGCCCCTTTCCCGCCTTATTCAGGTTTTGGCAAAATGGGTGTGTGCCTTCTTTGGGCAGCGTTCTTCCCCGTAAGGAGATGTTCCCCTCTTTAGGAACTGAACCAAAAAGCAAACGTCGGTGGAATAATCATAAGTGTCTGCCAAGTGGGGGACCTTGCGGCGACAGCAAAATGGAAGTGATATATATAATATACCCCCACAGATGACTCACAGTTTGCTTTTTTTAAAAATGTCGTCTTCCCTCTGGATTAAAAATGGGCCACTAAAGGGGGCTCTAACCCTGATTCACCAGCATACGTCATTATCGCCTGGGTGAAAAAGATGGGAATATACGATATATGCTCAACATATTCCCCAATTGCATAAGAAAAATATCTTTTTTACCAATATTACGGATAAATAATAATACGGTATGGTATATAATATATTATATATAAAAATATGCACAGCAATATATTTTTAGGCATTTTTTAAAATGTTTTTTTTTTGTATCTAGGCCGTATTAAATTTATTTTTGTTATGTATTATTGTAACCTATGTATATAAAGAGATTGGAGTTGAAATGTCGGGCGGTCGTTACTACCTTTTGGTTAATTATCATTAGCAGAATGGACCAGCCGGGAATCGAACCCGGGAGCTTTCGCATGCGAAGCGAACGTGATACCACTACACCACTAGCCCAAGAATTTGTAGTATGATACTTTGCCCATAGAGAGGAACTACTTTTCGCAACGGTGAGGCCACAAGCTTCTGGTGTGGCCAAAAGGGCGGAATCTCCCGCTCGGTGTTTCCTCCTACGCCTCGAAATGGTTGCTTTCAGAGCAGCACTCCAAATCTTTTGTTCCATTTTGAGCGAACTTCCCTGCAGGGAGGATGGCCTATTGGGGACACATCCTCTTGTTCCCCCTCATGGGCGTATGCAAAATGATAATTGTGCCCCTCGACATCATTTTTTTGTTTCCCTCTCCTCACTTGTAATGTAGCACGAACGGGTTGTTCACGCAATAGCGTTCACTTATGTGTGGCAAGGGGGCGTGATAATAAAATGGGTCAAATTTTTCTTTCCTCTAAGTTGCAGCGTGTTGTACGGGACATGCTAAAAAAAAAAATGCAAAGCAGTTGGCTCAGGGGGAATTTTTAAAACGGGAACACACATGTCAAGGGGCACGGACACATCAGGTAAGATTAGCAGGTGGATGTTAAGAAGGCGGTACTGACACATCCGTTACCCTTGGCTGGCATATTTCACTTCACCGTGGGTGTGTAATTATATGGGGAGGAAAAAGGGGAGAATTGCCCGGTTAAGGTGTTCGCAGGTTGACCATACCGCTTCATGTGTGTAACGGGGAAAATACAGAGGACACTGCTTCGTTGGCCGCGCTCAGCTGGGACTTCTTCACCACGAGTGATATTTTTGCAAATGGTCCAGGGGGATAGTGAAATGGGGGGGAAATGCCCAAGGTGTTTCAGCAGTTGAATTTGCTTGGCGTTGGTTCGCCCCTACTTTTTTTTTTTTTTAATTTTTTTTTGTTTCACGAACGCATTTGAGAGGGTCACCTGGGAGGGCCACTTCAGAGTACCCCCTGAGAGGGCCCCCTTCCTCACTCTAACGGTTCTAACTTGGGGAGGCCCCCTTTGCGGCTTGACCGCGCCAGCATGGAGCCGGTGACGTGGGAGGACCAACTAGGTGGCGGCGAGGTGGAAACGGTTGGGGGGATACGCAGCAGTGAAGGAGACACCTCCAGGAGTCGAAGTAATAGAAGAGAAGCAGCCGAGGGGCAGGGGAACCCCCTCTGGAATATCGCCTCCATGAACAGCGAAAATAAAAAGTACCTGCTAAAGAGCTACGTGGAGAAGATCAAGCGGATCATCCAGCACAGCGTGAGGCCAAAGTACTATGACATCCTCAGCGTCAGTAGCAATGCGGATGGAAAAACCATAAGAAGGAGTTACCTCCAATTGTCCAAGCTGTTCAGTGTCCACAAGAAGTTGTCCCTGGAACACGAAGAATGTTATTACCACATTCAGAAGGCCTATAAAATATTGACCGACAAATTTGAAAAATTTTACTACGATGTGCTAAATGGGTACATTGATGAATCCACCATCGAGGCATGTAGGAGACAGTTGCAGGTGGAAGCAGACGTCATATATAGAAATAAAATGAACGAAGTAGAAAGTATATATTGGGAGAAACTCAAGGAAGAGAAAGAAAAAAACGGACTAATCATAGAGAAGGCTTTATTTGGAAATTTAACTTTAAAGGAGGAGCATATAAACAACTGTCTAAATATGGATGTCATAACGGAGAATGATTTAGAAGGTCCCTTTCTCGACCTTACAGTCATTTTGCAATCTCGAATTGAAAACAGCTCTTTTTTATTCAATGATGAATTCTCCTTTGCCCATTTCTGTGATGTGCCCAAGCCCTTGATTAAGATTCCCTGTAGGGATGGCGTATCCTACGCCGACATCTTGCAGAGCACAGAAATGTACTTATATATAAAGTATAAATTTTTAAATACCCATCATGAGCTGATTGTTGTGGACAGATCCAGATTCACTCTACCACAGAGTACCCATCGAGCTTTCGGAAATCGAATTTGTGGCCCCTTCTCTCCAGTCAATGTGATTAAAATGCAGCACTTGTCCAATTCGCTCGTGGATAGCATTTTCCACTTTTTCTCCAAGAATAAATGTTACATCACTCTGTTCACCACTATTCTTCTCTGCGCGCAGTCGGTGAAGTCGGCGTAGCGGCGTGATGGCGGAGTGGTAGAGGGGGAGCAGCAGCAGGGTAGGGGCCGAATGGCAAAAGGGTAACGTCGTCGGGGCGAGTCCCTCAAGAAGGGGAGCTCACTTTGAACTCGCACTGTTGGGAGCTTGATAGCGGAGTGTGGGATCCATTCGCTCGCCCAGATGCTTCCCCCTGTTGGATTTGTGAACCCCCTTCTCGCCCACCCGCTCCAAAGACAAGTAGTTATTTACAAACAGAGACAACCCCTTGTGTAGCCCCTCGCACAGGGCAGATCTCCCCGCATGGGTGGGCCCCCCCGTCAGTACCTCACGAAGTTGTGTTCTGGTGGAGTCGTCCAGGAAAGTCAGAAAGAGGTAAAACGTGTCTCGAGTGAATACAAAGTGGGGGGGTTCCATATACTCTCCGTGGGAATGCAGCCCGTTCGGGTTGTTCCGGATGATTTGTACACTTGGGTCATTTTCCCCATTATGAGGACTTCCTATAAACTCCTTCCCAAACAGATCAGACGAGCCACGTCGCTCATCTCCTTTTTTGAAAAACCAGTTTGCAATAAAATTGCAGTTGTCTCTCTTGCGCAGGTGTTCCACCTGGACAAGCAGCTCGTTTATTTTTCCAACCAGCTTCTCATTCTCTGCTCTATATTTTTTATTTTCTTTGATTAAATTTCTCCGAGGAGCGTCATCCGCTGAGGTGTGCCTTCTCTTTCCGAAGAACTTCTTGACGTAGTCGTAGGGGTTTTCCACTGTGTCCCTGTTCCGAATCAGCTTCACAAACAAATGGACGAATAGAAAGAAGACGTTACTTTCTGCTAAGTATTTTTTGAAGTGGTAAAGTTGGTTTTTCTCTTTATTTTTTTTCACCCCTTGGAGGTAATTCCTCACCAAGGTGCGCTCGGCCTCCTCATGCAGTGGTGCCGCGGAGGCGCTGCGTTTGCCATTGCAATCGTCGCTGCACTCGCCACTGCTATCGCTACTGCTAGTCGTGTCCGGGGTGGGGCAATTCCCCAATTTCACGAGCAGGCTTTCCCCCCGCGTGCGTCTCATAATGCATCGTACAAATTCCAAGCCGCTTATGTAATTTTTTTTTCCTTACATTTGCGCACATGGATGGACTGAGCTATTCGGGTAACCCACTTGGCATCGAAACAAATTTTATTTCTACTCCGATGGGCAGGGCGAAGCGTTCACTCTATTTTGTGCAAATTTTTCGAACCCTACGCAGTAGCATTGTTAGCGCGTCTATTTTGTTCGTCACGCGGGAAAAAAAAAAAAAAAAAAAAAAAAAATGGACGTGCCGCTTTAAAATGCGGATCATATGTCCAATGGAAGGAGCCCCAATGGACCTATTGAGTTAGACAGATTGTGAACGTTACTCTGCTCGGAGCCCCTGCCGAGCGGGGTGCGCAAACGAGGGTGAACCCATTCGCATGCGCGATGCGTGATTCGCCCTCCGCAGAAGGGCCCCATTTTGAGCTGCAGTTTTACGAAAAAATACCCCTAGGGGTGGGGAACGGTTATGTTAGTGTGCTGTGTCGATGAGGTACTTCGATGGGCGGCTATGCGTGGTTGCGGTGATGAGTTGCATCGATTTGCTACTTGTGTCATCCGCTTCAGGGCTCAACTTGCTGCCCCACCCAAGGGGTCACCCCCCGTCGGGCGCGGGGCGCTGGTCAATCTTCACCGTCTTGCAGACGTAGTCGTGGCCCGCCGTGTGGACATTCAGTCCGTCCCTGGCGTTGACGATGTCGGAAATCTGGTCGTTGTGTATATTCTGCACATTGCATTCGAGGTTGCCAAAGTAGGAGTTATAAATGTAAAACTTGGACGTGAAGTGGTCATTGGTTTGAATGACATTGGCGATAAAATGCTCGTCATTCATGAAGATGCTTTTATTGGAAGTGCATGATAGGAACCCATTCCCGAAGGTGAACGGGGTGTGAAAATTTCGAATGTCCCAAATTTTTGTCTGCCCATCAAGTCCAGAAGTAAGGACGTAGTAATTACTTTTACTAAAAATAGCAGATTCTACAGAATATCCATTATGAGCATTAAATTGTGTGTGTACCAATTTGGACTCATGTCCGTCCCATATTTTTATATGTCCATCTTGAGACACAGAGGCGTAGAGAGTTCCATCTGACGTCCCACTTATGCAGTTTACGGTGCCACTATGATGTTTCTCCTGTCTTTCATACGAAGTGAAACACGATAGGGTCTCCAAATCGAACAGTTTAACAACATTTTCATTTCTATTACAGGCATATAAAAAATCTCCACAGGGATGGACATACAGATGTACGAATGGGTTCTTATCTTGTATGACTACATTTTGACCGGAGAGGTCATCTATTTTTTCCCTTACGTTTCTTCGGTGCCTAAATTGTTGCTTCTTCTTTTTGAATATTTTACTCACATCGATAATTTGAACGGTACAATCATCGCTGGCTGAGAATAGGAGATTTTTTACGGGGTGGAATTTCAGGCAGTTAATTCTCCCCATATGTTTATTGTCAATGGTGTGTACCTTTGTCTTCTTCACATTGTCATATATTTTACAAATTTTAATCACGTGATCCGCTCCACCTGAGCAGAGAACATTTCTTGTGCTGTTCGTCGTGCAGCAGGTCACTTTATGTTGGTGAATTAATTCTACCTGCTCGCTGATGTCATAGGAGTATACGATCCTTCTTCCCTTTTCCTTTTTTAATGAATCTAAATTTAGGACAGTCTCATTGTTACTACGGAGCTGTGCATTTTTTATGAATATCCCGTATGTCTTCAACTTTGTAATTGGGTCATTCCGTTGGTCGTCTTTTTGTCCATCCCCTTCCTGCATGTCCCTTTCGAACTCAGGAGGTGCCTGGTACAAGCTCTTTGTGTATAGCTTGAAGAGGTAATTCTCCTTCACCGTTTTGCTTTCCTCCAAATTTACTTCCTTCCTCAAGGTTTCGAACGAATCGGTTAGGTCATCGTCCCTCAGTTGTTTTAGCACTGCTTCGTAAAACGCGATTTTGTCGATGTCTCCGATTTGTTTGGGTTTTTTCTCCTCCGCGGCGGGGGGGCCACCTCCCTGCGTTGGACGGGGTTCCTCCGTTTGGCGGTCTTCCCCACTTTGGAGGCCTTCCCCGGCTTCGTTACTTTCCGGGGATTTGCTACTTTCCTTGGCTTTATTACATTCTGCGGCTTGGTTACTTTCCCCATTTGGGCCGCTCTCCTCATTTGGACCGCTCTCCCCATTTTGGCCACTCTCCCCATTTTGGCCGCTTTCCCCATTTTGGCCGCTTTCCCCAACTGGGCCGCCCCCCATACCGGGGGCGAACAAATTGCTGATGCTGAACCCCTTCATTCTTCAGCCACTTCAAAACGACCCTGTCGTAGCCTGTCGAGCGGGCCACGCATACGGAGGTGCGCAGAGGCTACCTCTACCCTTTTTTCTTCACATATAATTAAGCTGCCCAGAAACGAGTGGCTACTTGGCATAGCCCCATTTTTGCTACCTTCAAAATATGGGGAAAAAAAGGAAAAAAAAGGGAAAAAAATAAAAAAAATTCCACTTCCTGCTGATCTTCGCGCAAGGCTGAGAAGCGCCCATTTGGTAAAGTGCGAATCGTGTGAAATGGTCATTAAAAATGAAGTCAGGTGACTTCACGGAGGACTCTGCATCTGGCATGAATCTCTAATACGCACAACTAAACGGAGTTACCCAAATGGAACATACGTACCAACTGAGATACGCATAAGGAGGAGATGGAGCCGTTTGGTTTCGTTCGCCTTGAAGAAGTGCATAAAAGTGAAGTGACCATTTTTGGGTGCCTACCTGCAACGATCATTTTTTTTTTTCTTCTTCCAAATAAGAGATTTCCTTATTTCCCATCTGTCCCTCTTCGAAAAAGGCGTCACCGCGGGGACAAGCCCCCAAAGGTGTTGGAACTTTTTTAACGCATTTTTCCCTGTATGAAGACATAGTGATGAAATGCCAATTGGGCATCTTCTCCAGTTTCGCCTTCGTCAAGTATCTTATATTCATGTGCATGCATCTTATATGCTTTGAAGAATGTCCCAAAGGGAGAGTGGCCAACAAATAGAGCCTAAGATTTGGGGTGCCAATAAGGAGAGATAGAAAGTTAATCCAGCCGATGCGGACTCATATACAGGGTGTTGAAAAAAAAAAATAAAATAATTGCAAATAAGTGGATCATCGGAGGAAAGCAGGAAATATCGGCGTTTTTAAAACTACCCCGCCGTGTTAGTTGATTGTACACTTTTTTTGGGCATTTTAGTTTTGTGTAAAGCTACAGAGCAGTTCGTTTTTTCTCCACTCGGATGAAGCAACGGAACATGGTTAGCCATTCGGATGCACAGAATAGTGAAGATTGCCTCGGACAATTAGCGGAAAGGCCTGTCCTACCGGAAGAGCAATCAATCGGTATGTGACACATCGCGCATATGCGCTACTGGGTGATTTTTCCTTTTTTGTTTTTCCCCCATTTGGTTTACATAATGGAGAAATGTGTATTTTCCACTTCCTGTTGTTATGCTGTTATCTCCAGGCCGATAAGTGGAAACCGTCTGGTAATTTCTGCCTCCCTCCACTGTCATCCCAAACGGGGGCTATCCCATTTGTGGGAGGGACGGGGAGAGATACCCATTCGTAGACATCCCTTGAGCGGTTTGCCCCACTTTTATGCTGCCATTTTGAGAAAAGGTTGCAAAGTATTAACGGCTAGAGACACACGGGGAGTATAACCCCCCCTTCTCTTCGTTTGGACAAACTTCCCAGCCAAGTGTGCCCCCCCAGCGGGATGAACAAAAAAAAAAAAAAAAAAAAGAAACACCAATTCGAACACTTTTCTTGAAAAAAAAGTAAAAAAACAAAATGACCATTTCGATTTATCTCAAAAATGCTTACATCAAAGTTGTTCCAAATGGGGTTAGCAATTTTGAAGAAGGGAGACGGGGGGGAACTTCCTTCAATTTGTTGCCACAATGTTAAACTTTTCCGACGTGGCATTCAAAATGACCACTCCTCTTCGCGAAGGAACGCTTAAGAGGGGGAGAAGGTCTACCAGAAAGGGGGAAACCGAGTTGCACTAATTCGTTGGCGCAGTCCCTCCGAGGCGGTTTGGGTTAGTCTATTTCCCATTTGCCGTGATGCTTCGTTTTTTTCGTGTCCGGTGCCGACTTTGGCGCTCTGTCGTGACTCCGTTGGCATCATATTGCCATTTTCTTGGCATGATGTTGCCATTCCGTTGGCACTCTTTCTTTTCGGCTGGCCACTTCGCGCTCCTCGCGCTGCCCCGCACACAGAAGGGATGAAGCCTTTCCCAAAATGGGAAACAACCTTGGCGATATTTCTTCAACAGCTAAGAGAATTTCGCTCGGTGTCTACTTCAACTGCGCGCATGTACGGAGGCGTTGCTGCCCGCATGCATAAACGTGTGCCAATTTTTAGCATATATATAATATATATACTGGGCTGTTTCTACTGAAATGTCTCTGCGCAGACGGGATAAAAAATGGCCTATCGATGGTTTTCGTCTTTCCTGTGCATCGAATTGAAAAATGGAAAAAAATTGGCTGCGCGTATGCACATGTTTATGTATATAGTTATGTATGCATGCATGTACGTGTTTTTTTTTTTTTTTATTTCTTGCTCCGCCCAGCTTTGTTCTGCCAGGTTATTTATTTTTTTTTTTCTCCTACCAACTTGTTCAAACGGAAATGCGACAGTGCAACTTTCTTCCAACTGATCTTTCCCCCGTAAATAAATTGCAACTTCATTCTTGGTCCATCCACATATGCTTGCTATTATTGCGCAGACCATATTTCCCCGCGATGTGATGAATACGCATGTTTCAATGGTCGTATGCATTTTTCCGTCCTGAAAGTTGAAACGCAACCTTTCGGATGAAGAGGCAAGACGCAGGAGATGAAACGCGCAAAGTGGAAGAAATCACTCACGTTTACAATTTTCGTCCTTTTATATGTGAACAGTGCGGTCTACGCGAATGGGAATGAATTGAAAGGAACGGATGGGGTGGACGTTCCCAACGAGGACATTCCCAAAGACGACATTCCCAACGACGGCATTCCCAACGAGAAGGACATCACCAACGAGAATAACATTAGCAACGAGAATAACATTAGCAACGATTGCAACATATTTGAGCGCATTTCAAGTGAAGGACAAAACGGAAGATGCAACGATGACAGCCCTATCTCCCAGAGTGGTACACAACAGCCTGAAGAAGGAAGTGATGCAAAGGAAGGCAATACTTTCCTCGATGAGAAAAATATTGTAAAAAATGTAGAAACCGATTTCATATGGGAAGGAGAAGATAAAGCCAACCACACTGATCCGGATACGGAGGAGGGGAAAGCAATGGACCATGTACAAAAAAATGCCAACTTGAGAAGCACATCCTACCTCTCCTCGCAGGGCGCAGTAGACCAGACGAGTAACTTCGTTCAGGGGAATCCCTCCCCTTTGGACGAAAATGCGGCGAATATTAAACAGGTGACTGGGGCTCAGGATAGTTCCGATGCGACCGGAAATGGTGGGGGAAATGGGGACGGTGAAGGAACGACCCCGAAAGAGGTGGATGGAAAAGATGGCAGCCCAGATAGAAACGAAGATGGCAAAGAAGCTGGCAAACCTGGAGATACACTTAGCGGCACTCCTGAATCCTCCCTTGGAGTATCTTCAAAACCGAACCAAGTGGAGGGAGACGAAGGGGATGAAAAAACCAGCCCAGAGAAACTGAATAAGCACAGTGAGTCTACCCCCACTCCGGGCGATGCTGGTGAACCCGATGGTGAAGAAAAAGCAGAGGGAGTAGACAACACTCATATATCACCTACCGGAGAAGAGCTTACGAAGGACTCCCCCACTTCAGACCACGCAGAGAAGATAAAAAACACGCTTCTCAAGGAGGGCAGAGAAATAAAGGAAGTGACGAGCAAGATCGATAACGCAGTGTACAATGTGGAGCTGATGATTTTAAAAGTGAAGTTCTACACCACGGCAATCCGAAACTTCGTGCACTTCAAAGTTAACCACATTTGTGAATACTCCAAGTGTGGGTCCAACGCTCGCTGCTACATTTTGGAGAAGGATAAGGAGGAGTGCAGATGTATAGCTAACTACATGCCTGATGAAAGTATGGATTATTTTAAGTGCATACCTATGACGGTGAAGGACTGCTCCAAGAACAACGGGAATTGTGACGTGAATGCAGAGTGCTCCATTGATAATAAGAAAGATATAAAATGCCAGTGTAAGTATGGTTACATTGGGGATGGGATTTTCTGCGTCATGGGTTCTCAGGAGAAGCAGTCGTTGTGCCTTCTGCTCGTGCTGCTAATTTGCTTTCTCCACAAGTTTCTTTTTTAGAGAGGTAAGGAGAGGGTCGCTCTTGGGGAAGCAGTTTATCTCGACGGCGTTATTGGGCAAGCAGTTTATGCTGATGGTGTTCTTTCCCTTGTGGGGGAAAGCGTGATGTTCCCCTTGGGAAGCACGTTCACATATACCAAATGCGGTACCCCCAATGGAATGCCTTTTATTTTCGCGTGGAAAATACATACATAAAAATTGAAGCCTCCGTTTTGAGTAAATGTTTTTTGTGAGTCGCCTGCCGCTTTTTTCGCCTCCTCTTTTGGCCCCAATTTCGACGTTGTAATTTTGTTTTCCCCCTCCACATTGGCCCAACTTCTGCGTTTGTTGTTTTGCGACTCTCAATTAAGTGTTTACGTAGCTCCTCTTCTCCTTTGTGTTTAATTTTTTACCTTTCCGAATTGGTGTAACCTCTGAGTTTGTTCTGTTTTTTAATACAGCTATGTAGGTTCTTTTCCCTTTTTTGTTTAGTTTTTTTTTTTTTCTTCTTCTTTTTTCTTTTTTCTTTGTTTGTCCTACGTCCAACGCGTCATGCAGAATCGTACACCCTATGTGCCTGAGTAGGTGCGAAGTCTCGTTAACAAAATGGGTGCCGCTTCAGTGGGCGTTTCCACCTGAGGGCGCGGCCGCAAACATTGAGGGAATCAGCAACAATCATGACGATAAAAGGCGAAATGGAAAATGTACTTCCAAAAATGCAAAATGTACTTCCCATATGGAGGAGGAAGAAACAACTGATCAATAAGACTGCACAGAGTGGGCATTATTTTCTTACCCACTTGGGAAAAAGGCTACTTATCGAAAGTGCGCCGCAGACAGGCAGGGAGAACCGTGGCATGGGTCCAGCCCAAGTGGTATCCCATTTGAGAGGCAGAATGGACGGCGTCTCAACTGAAGAGAGGAATAAATGTATTTCCCTATTCTGCACTGCGAGGGGATACCACACCGCTAAGGGTATGCAAAAATTGTGGCTGCAGCGATCTGAAACAGATATGAATTTTGAACAAATCACACGCATTTTGAAGTCCCTGGGGAGGGAAAAAACAACTTCGGAGGAGAAAAAAAACACAGAAAGAAAAGTCACCTTGCTACTACCACATATATATAAAGAATGCGAAAGAAACTACATCCACTTTTCGTGCATTTTACACAACCTGAATAAGTTAAGGGATAAATTAACCAAGGAGTATAAGGAAGAGGTGTATATCAAAATGGGGGAATTATTTCTTCGCAATGTTAGTGTCTTTACCATCAAAGAAATGACGATCATATTAAAATGTTTGGTGGAGGAGAGAAAAGTGAAGTATGACAAAATGGTGCAGTTCTGCGCGTACAAATTTATGTACATGTTATGTATGGACATTTTACACAGAATGAGAAAGGAGCCTTCGTTTAATTTTCTCTTCCTTTCCGTCCTTTGCACACATTTTAAGGGGTGCATAGAGAATTATTTTTTCTCCAACGTGGGGAATACCAACGGGGAGGATGAAATGGACCGTTTTTACCAAACCTTGCGTAGTCTACGAAGCAGCACTGTTCACGGAGTTGTTGCGAGTTGTTCAGAAAATGGATCTCCCAGACATGGAAGCAACGTTTTCAACCTCCATGACGTGTCTGCTTTTATGTTTTTTTTGACGAGATACAAATCGGCTTGTTGTCCTATGTACACATTCCTATCGCATGTGTACGTGTCGGTGAGCTTCCTGGGGGAAATGGTCCACCCTTTTCATGCGAAGCTAGAACGTCACTTTTTGAAGTTCGAAAGAGGTCCGAAGTTTTGCTTTTCAGGGGGGACTCTCGCAGGGGGGACTGCTCCTACGGAGCAGCACATGGACGAGATCGACGAGGAGTACACACGTGAACGCCCCGACGAAGTGGAAGACTCGCAGAATGACCTCACATCAATATCAAAAGGAGAAATAATGCAATATATCTCACGTTTATTGCAGAGTGAGAACCGCTTCAACCGTACTCCTCCTTCACCTGTGCAGAGGAAGTGGAATAAAGAAAGTGAGATCACGCGGGAGAACGTCCACAGCATGGCCGTCATCATCCATAGTAGTGTCAAAGCAAAGGAGCGAAACGTATTCACATACGTCTTAGCAAATTATCTTCTACTAAAATGTACAGATTTTTTAAATTTAATCGACATATGCAACATGTTCGAATTGTTCATTTTGGACAGAACAACTTTTGCAGGGGCCGATGTGTATGATGCATTTTTTGCAAAAATCCGGCGGTTAATCATGGTTGAGGCGAGCATAAAGACGATGGCAATATTCTGCATAAGCAGCGCACGACTGAGGGGAGAGCTGCGTGCATCCTTCGTGGACAACATCCTGGCGTTGTACCGAGTCATTTTGCAGAAAGGAAGGGGGTTATCTGTAAAATACGCAAACAACAATCGGAGAAATCACAAAAATTTGTCATTCCCCTTTGGAAGAGAAAATACCGTGATTTTTGTTAATGTGGGTAATTTTCTGTCCAGCCATAAAATCAGTTCTCTGTTTTATTTACTCTACTTGAGGAAGTTTAACGACTTTTTAAATGCTTTACTTGTTCATAAAAAAAAGGGCCATTGTTGTGCCTCCCTGATAAGCGTAATTGATATGTTCGATTTGCTCAAAATATTTGTCACGGTTTTTAAGATGTACGAACAGAATGGTCATTATGAAGGAAGACGAGGGGCGGAAATTTCAATACATTTAGACAATTCCTCTGAATACTTGCTGCAATTTTTGGAGGATATTTGCTTCGAAAAGATAATTTCTGTAGAGGAGCATTTTTCGAAGGATGGGCCACACGCCTATGCGCAGGCGGATCGTCTGAAGAGAATAAAAATTCTGAATAGGTCATGTTATTTTTTCACATTGTTACTCCCCATGATTAAAAAATTGCAAATGGGGAACATCATTAATGACAGGACTGGGAAGTTACTAACCCGAGTTTTCACGTCTTTTAAAGGCAGCATAAGCAAAAGTTACCAAGACGAACTTCTTAGCGGCAACTGCAAGAGCGGCCAAAGCAGCGGACGTTATGTGCACGTTTGGAACTTTTTTTTTATGTTGAATGATGCGCGTGCCAAGGGGTGACCATTATGCGGAGGCACCTACATGTCGACGTTTTCGCGGAGCGCGACCTTCATACACGTGGGAGGGGGCAAACACATATCACAAAGAACGCAGCACACAGAAAACATCACACAGCATGCATCACGCCAGTGTCTATTTATTCATTCTTTTCTTTTTTTTTTTGTGGATGAGGAGCGTTCCCACGCGGGAAAAACGCAACAAACTTCGTTGCTCAGGTTTGCCTACCTGCAGCTTTGTTATCCCCGAGGGAAGGGTCAAATTTGTTTTGGTACCGGCCTGTGCAAGTATGCACGTTTACGCATGCATGTTCTGTTATACATACGGCTGAACACACCTCTTCGATGTGACTTTCCCCGTTATTGCAACACAACGTTATCTATGTAGTGAAAAAAAAAAAAAAAGGATCCCAGTTAGACCATTAGATCATTTTTCCCTTCCAAAATTGAGGCGAATTGGACCTTTTTTTTTTCTCTCGCTCATTTGGAGCACAACGAAAGGGGTTACTCCGGCGTGGCTCCCCAAGTTGTTGGTTCTTTTTTTTCGGGGGTAGATTAAATCTGGAATGAGTACCGTGCACACATGTGTAAGTGCATGCGCATATGTATACCGTTGTGCTGCTTCCCTTTTTTTCCTAACCTCTTTGGCATCACGGAAAAGCAGTTGAGAAAAAAAGTAAAAAGAAAAAAAAAAACAATTAAAACGGATCCCCTTTTTACGTACCAAAAAAAAAGGACGAATTTGGAAAATGCTTCTTTTGGCTGAGTTAACTTCGAAAGAAAATGTTTCCCACCGTTTTAACTGCAATGAGATTGCATGCATCCGTTTTAATTTGTCTTTTTTGAAAGGATCGCTCGAGGGTGCGTCAATGTTGGTGGCCTTGTGATAGCGGCTGTCAGACAGGTCAGTACGTATATGCACGCATACTTAGCAGACCTATAGACGCAAAGAGAAACATCGGGCGAGAAGTGAGCGCGCAATTGGCGAACATATAAATTGGGGAGGGCTCCACCTAAAGCATGGCAAAAGGGCATTCAATTTGCCTGCAAAGTAGGGGAGTTCTTTTTACAAATTAGTGTCGCTGCGCTGGTCTTCTTTACGTGAATGAAACTCCGCGAGAAGATGAAATTAAGCGCCCTGTACCAACTGTACACACTGTGCACGCTGTGCATCCTGTACCTATTGGTCAGTTTAGCCAAATGTTCGGATGAGGAGGTGCACGAAAAAGTGAAGTCCATTGTGAACGAAGCAGACGACTGCTCACTGGAAGACGTGGAGTTCATAGACAAGTATAACGAAAAACTGTACTGGATATGGACGAACAACCTTTTCAGGTATTTAAGAGTCAAGCTGTATTTGTACGAAAGTGACGCTATTTACAAAAATGTGAAAGGGAAAAATGGCAAGGCGTTAGGGGACGACGTGAAGGACGCGCTTCAGGACGACTTCTTTATCTACAAAGAGAGAGAGGAATTCATACGAAATGCCCTGAACATCCTGTCCAATGAAAAGTTCTTGGCAAAAACGATAAGTGTATATACACCTAAAAAGGAAATAAAATTTTTCCAAGAATTATCGGAGAGGCAGTTAATTGACCTGCTCATAAATGAAAAAAAAAACTTAATAAACTCATTTAACAAATTTAAATTGTTTCAAGATTTTCGAGACGTTTTAAATTCAAAATATTATTACCAGAGACGCTTTTCACAGAGGGATGCAGAATTTAAAGCTGACGATAATGCAGGTGCCGCCCAGAATGAACAAATGGAGGAAGATAAAAATGTTCGGGTAAACCATAAGAGAACAAAAAATGTAATCACATTTAATGCTGAGGAAATACCGCGCATGATGGAGATACCCTTCGACTTCTACGATCGGAACAAGTGGAACAAATATTTTCATTCCATCAGTGATGAGTAAAAAATGAGCGTGTGTGAGAAGGGAACCTGTGGGATGAATTCCCTACAAGGGGACGCCCCCCCCATGCACTGTATTAACGTCAAGTGGGTCTACGTGCACGTGGTGCTGCTGCTGAGGGGGAAGCGATGTGTGGATTAGCGCATCCGCTATACTCTTCCGTTTTTTTTTTTTTTTTAATTGTTCATATCGACTGCCACGTACCGGGGAAGCCGCTGCCCCCCACGTCTACCGTCCATTCAAAGTTGGCATGTACCTTTAAAGCGAAAAAAAAAGAAAGATAATAATAAAAAGGGGGTCCGCCAACAAAAGGCAAATGTCGTCTTCGGTACAGTGTTACAATACACACCCGCGTGAACAGGAATCTACCGAAGCACTCCCTCAAAGGGAAGAATATTCACACAGTTAACAGAAAAAAGCTAAAGCTACTTCTCCATTGGGTAAAAAAACTTCGGAACCACCTTCTCCTTTAACTCCATTTGATTCTTGCAAAAGTGTATAAAAAAATAATCCCTAATTTTGGCGTACCATGTAATGTTGGTCAATGCCGTTTTTTTGTTTTCTTCATTCTTGTGTGCCTCAATTAGATTTAGGGCTGCTATTTTGTACTTAACATATCGGTGATACTTCAGTGGGTTGTAGTCCTTATTGTGCAAGTCTGTGTTTTCATCGACATCGTCGTAAATTGCGTTCACGTCACTTAGGCTTAACTCCAGGACATTCTTATCTTTTCCTGTGCGGAAGGGAGGCGAAAATAGGTTACTCCATATAAGCCAGCAGAAATGTGCATGGACGTGTACACATACAGACAGGGAGGCAATGAAGCGATGTTGCATCCTTTGGCAAGGGGTACCCCCGCTCAGTTTTCCGTTTTACCAACGCGAATTCTCTGGATTGGCCTCTTTCCAAAAAGCAGAGTTTTGGAAACGATTCTTTTGGGTATAAGATTTAACATTTAAAAAAAAACGATAGGGAGGTGGAATACTTTTGGATCTTCGCAAAAATATGCAAGAAGGGAAAGCGTCTGTTGGGTTTTCACACCATTCCCCGTAAATGGGATAAGCCTATGCCTACAAATGTTCCGATTTTTGTGTACATGCGTTTCTATGAAGGGGGTCACTGCATGGGGAGTTTTTTTTTTTTATTTCTTTGGTTTGGAAAAAAAGTGCGAGTGTTCACTTATGGGACATGCTTTAAGGTGTACCATGCATACGAATACATTAGTGTTTAAGAAAGCAAGCCATGGCTGTTCCCTTGCTTTTTAAAAGTGTCACAATTGTGGTGTTTCTTTCACCACTTTAAACATTTCTTGTTTTGCCGTTTTGAAATTTTTTCCATTACTGTACATTTAAAGTGCAATTTTTTTTTCTTTATCGCCATTCCCCAAAATTTGCTAAACGGGCATGTTGTTGTGAGTTCCTTTCATGTGAAGTTTGAAGGGGGAGTGAAAAGAAAAATGGAACTCGTCACGCTGGAGTGTACGAAAAGGAATAAAATGCTAGTGAATTGTATTTTTTTTTTTTTTCCAACTAGTGCCCTGGAGCGGAATACGTATAGAATTGTTTTCGCCCCAAACGGGTGATGTTTCAGCGGCTGAGCTTATTTCTGCAATTTTTTTTAACTTTCGGTACGAACGTGAGAACACCGTTGCAGTAGGAGGGAAGGTGCCAACATTGCGTAACAACTTTTCAGAGAAGGGAAAACACGCCGAGCCTTAAATGGGCCTGCGCGTTGTCAATGCTACGCCTAGTGAGGATTCTTACTGATGAGAACGCGCAAACATACGTGTGCAAATGAAGAGGCCCTTCGTGTATGAAAAATTTTTGACAAGTGTAAATGATGCCTAAAGCTACACTAATAATTTTCCCCCGTTTTCCTGTTTACCCCGTTCGCGTCTTCTGTTTGTTCCCAAATCTTCATTCCCACGGGGGTGAGTATAACCCACGGCATTATAACCCAAAAAATGGGAAAAAATAAAAAAGAGAGGAAAATAGATACCTCCGCTGCGCAGTTCTGCACACCTCGCCGAGGGCACATCACAGCTTCTTTGCTATTTTCAGAAGAGTGATGTGAATGTATCCTCTTATATTAACATATTTACTAAGCACAAATGAAGAGCATAAAGGCAGTTTCGTCGCAGTCTCGTCGCATTTTCTTGTGGGTTCATCGGTAAGAAGTGGCAATTGCGCATGAACGCTGCCCTTGTATAATATGCAAACGAAAAGAGGAAAAAAATATACCTAAGTAATCATATCTATAGGATCATCCCAAAGGAAAACACATCTCTGCACAAATGTGCATACATGTGAGCAAGCTCGTCGAACCCGTTAACCTTTTCCCAGTGATTCTATGAAAATGGGGAGAGAAAAAAAAAAATGTGTATGCCAGCGGAAAGAACGAAATAGCCATTTTGCAGCCAAAGGAAAAAAAAAAGACAGCTAGCTAGCTACTAGCTAAAATAAACAACCACACAGTTGCGGAACAAAGCGGCTAAACAACCAAACATCCAAACAACAGAAACAACGCTGTTGCAAAAAGGGATAAGGAAACGGATGTACCGTGCCAACGGAGACACATATAGAGGCCTGATCTTACAACTGTTTGGAC